TATATATATTTTTTTTTTTATTTATATTACTTTTATTTTGTATTATATTATTTTTTATATTCTATTCTTATTAATATTAATATATTAATAAAAGTAAATACGTAGATACATTTTTCTTCCTACATAATTTGAAATTTTTTAATTAAATTTTAACTTTGAAATCTTCCAATTTTTAATGTTTGGATATTGTTCAGTGAATTTTATGTTATCGGTCACGACGACCGACACGGCATTCAGCGTGTTAATTTCCTTCGAGCTCGAGTTCCCAAATCCTGGTTTTCCGTCTGACGTGAAAGATCGACACATCGATCAGAGTCGAGTAATACGAGTGTGCTTATCCCGGCGTTCGGACTTGTTCGCACGTGTGAAACACGATTTTATGATTATCCGTATCTAATTATCGGCCGCCGCTCGGCGCGATCGATCGACCGCTTCTCGTTCCAGCATGGTCGGGCCGCGAGTTCTTTGTCTTGCCGCGGATTGGAAATAAAAGCACGCTGCCGTATCATACGATCGACCAATGTCAATATTTATTGCAGCGAAACACGCCACCATTGATTGGCTCTCTTTCTCGATATATGCCTCTCTTCTTCTTCTTCTTCTTCTCTCTCTCTCTCTCTCTCTCTCTCTCCTTGCGGCGCGGATATGAACGATCACGCGACCGCTTCGGCTCTCCCGACGGCGGGACGAGAGCCGATACGCAACGTCCGAGTCATTGACCATTTTCGTGCCAGGAAAAATGAGATCATCGTGAAATATGCGCGTACGAGCGCGGCGCGGCTCTCCGCCGCCGCCGCGGGAAGCGCGCTTCACGAGGCGCGAAAACTGCAACGAAAGCGAGGGGGTGGGTGTCCCGATAATCGCGAGCCTGAGCGCTGACGAAACGGCGACGGACGCGCGTGCCGTGCGAAAGAAACGCGGTCGATATCGAGAGAGCCGTTGAAAAACGCACGTGACTCCGCGCGTATCGGGCGTTTTACGCGCTGCGAATAACAATCCACTGACGAGCAAATGGACGATATTTTTAGCGGACGCGCGAGAAGGAGGGAATGAAAGAAGACGAGAGAGGGGAAAAAAGAAAGAGAGTTCGCCGGCGAAAAATTCCCTCGAGGAATTCGCGGCGCATCTCTCGCGTCGACGCGCAAGCGAGATATTGTGTTTACGCGAGACGAGAGCGCGCATCGCCGTCGTAAAACCGAGAGCGACACGATCCTTCTCCTTCTCCTTCTCCTCCTCCTTCTGCTCCTGCTCCTGCTCGATAACCGGTGAGAGTTATCCCTTGCGGTAACGAAGGCGCGAAAACGCGCTCCGCGCGGGGGATGCCGATTATTTTTGTAGCGAGTCCGAGAAGCCGCCGCGGGGCGCGATATCTTTTCGCGGTAGGATCGCGTTTTACGAGCCGTTCGAGACTCGGCGATTTGCACACGCAAAAGCGCCGTATAAATAGCGCTGAATCGAGCAATTTTCTCGTGAAAAGAAGAGCCGGCTCGAACGGCTTGAAGAATAGGCTCTCCGGCTCGCCGAGGACTAAAACACGACGCCGACGTGTTCGCGTACGAGCCGATTAACCCTTCCAAAAGCTATCGAATATCACCCCAAGCTAAATTTTTCCTTTCATGTTTATGTAGCAAAGCACATTGATCTGTTTAATGATAACATTGTCTCTACTGACTCTATTGACAGTGTGAATAAATATCTATTATTTTACGAATAAACACCTATTATTATCTTTTTATTTTCAGCACCTTTAATATCTAAAACTAATATTCAGCCAGTGGTTACGTTCTTTAACAAGATCAAAGCAAAATTCGCGCGGGTTGAAGTTTCCTGTGGCGATCTTTATACGGTTAAAGCGGCGATCTTTCAACGGTAAGAAATTAATAAACCTATCACAGTCGATTACGACAAAAATAATCAACTGTGGTTGGTCCATTTCTTACTGTTCATGCTTACTTCTTACAGCTTACTACCATTGTAGACAACGCTTAAGAGTTAAGGCGCGTTGCAATTTGATTTGCTTCAGTGGATAAATCGCCGACACGTACAAATGCATTTCCCCTCACGAACACAACAAGGAGATCCTTCTTGTGCGATTCGCACTACTCGCGTAATCGGTCATCGGCATCGGCAATCAACGTTTCACGTCGAATCTGCCGCGGGAGTAATGATCGTTCTGATAATGAAAATATCCAGTCTCGACGATGTCGAACGGAAAATCCACTCTAGAGCGATGAAGGAAAAGTCAGTCGAACTCGAGTGACTCACTTCGCTTCTCTCCGGGAAGTTCTGAGAGTGACGGAGATGTGCCGTTTCTCGTCACCGACGTCACTTTTGTTTCCCGTCGTCCCTCGAAATCGATCCGTACGCAGGTGCGACGCTCCGTTATCGGTACAATGACTGCGTCCCGATAACAGCAATGTACAATGTAGCGTGAGTCAACAGTCGACTTTGGGGAACAGTCGAGTTCGATTTCGGGGACGAATACACACACGTATTAGCAGGAGTCATAGACTTATACAGATAGACCGCGCGTCCCGTGAGAGGACTTGAAGACAACATTAAAGTGAGAGGAGCGATAGCTGAGTGAGTGTGCCTCTGTCTAACATGCGTCTCGGTGGGAGAAGCCAAAGAGGAGAATAGGACACACTAGGAAAAAAAATTTAGTATCTCTAACAAAACTGTTTAGTTGAGGCATTTTTTAATATGCAACCAAATATCTTGTTTTTTATATAACAAAATATTTAATTGTCTCAACTAGATATATTTTTCTGCTTTGTTCTCTGGACCAAATGATTTTGTTCTTAGACTTCATATATAAAAATTCAGCATTTTAGTTATTTTATTCATAAAAATTACATAATAACGAAATATTATTTCACACAAACTGAAATAATGCCCAATGGATACTACTTTGTCTTTCTGTGCACTAAAATTTAGATTTTATATATTAAGAAAAAATTATAGTATTTTTAACAAAATTCATACAGTTAAAGCTTCTTGGTTGCTATAACAAAAGTATTACCTTGTACGAACAAACCGTCAATCAAACAAGATATTTGTTTACAGGAACTAAACACAGTTTTGTTGGGCATATTTTAACCAAATTATTTTGTTGTCACAACAAAATTTTGCTTCACGCAACAATACATTTTTCCTAGTGTACCTTTCCCCTTGTGTCATTTTCTCCCCTCTTCTAGCCCAGAGCGAGAGAGAGAGAGAGAGAGAGAGAGAGAGAGAGAGCCTCAGTCACACACAATAGCTCTGTCCTCTAATGTAGTCTTTAGCGCGCCCATAAGGATGCGCAGCGCAGTCTATCTATATAAGTCTATGGCAAGAGTCTTCTTCCGTCAAGCAAGCGCAAGCTCGATTTCCGCAAGGTAACTCTGCGCTTATCAACGCGAGACGCTCAGGCAGCCGCGTAGCTTCCACGTCTCGTTACCGTTAGCCGAAATAATTCCTCTGCGCAAGATCGATGACTAGCAATTTTATCTACATCGCGGGGCCATAAATCACGCGAGCAAGGTCTCCCTCCCCCTGCCGCGACTCGTCCCGGCGCGGCAGCTCGTTGGCGTCGAGACTTCGTAATTTTACCGAGACGCGTGAGTGAATGAGTGAGAGAGAGAGAGGGGGGGGAAAAAAGAAAGAGAACGCTTTTGTCTCTTCGAGCGTCTCGTCGCGATGCCGGCGACTCCTCGAGCAACTTCCTCGAGGGGAGTCGCCGCGGGATTTCGACCGAGAGCGAAATAAGAGCCAGGCCACCTTCGAGGGCGCAGAGGCGGAATCGTCGAATGGGAAATCACCGGGTATAAATAGAGGATGACTCGCGAGTCTGAACTCGGCCGTGTGGACATCGCTAGTCGATGATCGCGCGCTTCTTCTTCGCGCGAGCGAACGGGCGTCGATAAGGCGACGCGGCGACGACGAGACCCAAGGAGAGGTTCCCGCAAGGAGAGGTGTTAACGCGACGGATTAGCGGCGAGCGCACTCGCCTCGTGAACGCGGAACGGCCGCTCTCACGCCTCGGAAATAGCCGAGGACGGGCGGCGAAAAAGGTCCCCGTCGTTCCGCAAATCGATCCGCAAAACCGCCGCGATGTCGCGCGGAACTTATCGCGAACGACCGGCGTCCCGGAGTCGCGGGATCACTTCCGCGAGGAAACGCGAGTGCGGTCGCACGAGCGGTTTTATCTGAATTAACGTCCCGACCGTCCGGTAATAGCTTTTCTCTCCTCTCTCTCTCTCCTCGATCGATCGAAGCTACGACTTGCTCTCTCGAGGAAAATCGACGTGGTCGAGCTTTACGACGCACTCGAATTCGTTACCGATAATAACGAACGCGCGCGACTTGTATCTCATGAATTCTTTCTCCCCGGCTGATTACCGGAAAGCCAGACTCTCCGTTCCCGTTGATGACGTCATGACACGGCGTTAGGTTCCTTGGAGCACGGAGAAATATCTATCAGCGGTAGCGCGGAAAGTCGGCTTTTCGGTTTCCGTGGTTCCAACCACCGGTTCTTCATTTAATAATCCAGAATTAATGTAAATCCCAGGATAGTTAGCGGCATTTCTCTCTATTGTGTACATCAACTTTCATTAAGATCGAACTTTATTACAAGCAAGTAATAAATAAGTTTTATAATAAAAACAAAAAACAACTACTTTCCGGTACCCCCGACAATTCTGCGACAAAATACCATTTACAGGAGTGTTATCCTTTAACGAATAAACCAACATAAAATGAGGCAAAATCTCTCTCCGAGAGTTTGAGTTGGAACTTTTGAATAATCGCAATTACGACACACAATCTCAAATATCATTCTGATTGCACGAGGACGAAATTAGAATTGGAAATGCGGATGTAGAGATAAAATTAGAACAAGATCCGAAGATGGAGAAAGAGACCAAGAGACGCGCGGCGTATTTCTCACGGCAGCTAAGCCGCGCGCGCTCCAACGAACAGACAAGAGACTATAGGCCTACGAATTGAAAGCAAAGAGCTACCTTAAGGGCGTACTTCTGTCTCTTTTGTTTGTCGTAGCACTGCACGACCTTGCCGTTGATGCCGAGGCCCAGCACGTGACTGCTGATCTCATAATCCTCGATGATCGGCGTGACCTTCGGCAGCCGGGGCTCAACGCCCTTGTTGCCCAACGGATGCTCCATCGTCTTTCTCTTGGGCTCCTGCTCCGCCACTCGGTCGTCCTGCAGGATTAACTGCGTCACCACCACCGGCTCCGAGCGCTTGCGTTTGCTCTCCTTCTGCTCGTTCTCCTCAAGAACGGCCCTCTTCGACTTCCTGGAAAGCCGGCGTATTCGACATTTTTAATTCAAGCTGCGCGCACAAGGGAGAGAGAGAAAGAGGGAGAGAGGGGGAGAGAGAGAGAGAGAGAGAGAAAGGGAGACGACTTGGAGAACGGCTCGCCGAACGTCGTCGCGCGAACGCGACGCTCAAAGCGACGCGGCGAACAAGCAGTGTCCCAGATTACGCGGCGATAACGGAAATCTTGAGCCGATAACGCGCCGTGTGTTGTATACCGTGGAATACCGTATATACACACACACACACACACACACACACACACGCGCGCACGCACGCACACAGCGGCCCCCGCGAATGGCCATCGCGAGTAGATGCGATTCGCTCGGTTCGCGCTCGCGACTCGAGACGACTCGTAATTCGCGGCGCTTTTCGTACAATTTCTGGACCAAGTTGGAGCGAGAGAAAATATATCCATTTCACTCCAACTTACTGTTCAGAAGTCCTTCGGAAAAGAACAAACTTAATGTCGTCGCGCGAGAAGAAACGCGACAGAGGAAACGCCCGGCAGGTCCCGAAGACGCGCGAAAGCGACCTCGTCGAAAAGGCGGGGAAAACCTTCGGCCTCCACGCAGCGAGATCGAAGATCTGTCGAAGCGACGACGAGAGTGAATCGACGGAGACAAGTGACGTTCGGCCGTAACGGGATCGTAAAATCGGCCGGCTCGTGGAAGCTAACGCTGAAATGTCCGCTTCAAGCGACTCGCGTCTCAGCGAGTCTCGCCGCTGTCGATTCAATGAAATCGTTTGCATAACCTTCCTCGAGGAATGTGCAGGATCCATGTTATTTCGCGCACGCTCGCACGCACACGCACGCACGAGTTGTGTTCTACCCACACAACTCACCGACGGCTTTATACGGCGCGTCGCCGGCGCGACGGGCGAATGAATTCGCTAATTGTCGGCCGAGATCGACCGCTCGCACACACGAAACACGCACGGTACTCGCGCTGCTGATGTGACGCGGGGGGGGGGGGAGGAGGCGTCCACAGGTGTCACATCGGCCGTCTCATTCATACGTAGGATACGTTAAGGGGTAACATCTGAGTTTAAGGGGTAACGCCTGAAAACACAGAGTAAGTTTGGGAATTTTTTGTAGTTGAATAACAACATGGATGGAAAATTGATTTGAAGGCCTCTAACGTGCTGCATACTTTAACTACTGCACAAAACAATTTTTTGTTATTATTTTGCCTCAAGATGGCGGCACTGTGAAGCTCTCCAAGTAAAACCACGTTTTTTTCGAATTGGCTTGCAGCAAAACTTCCAAAAGAACTTTCATCCGATCCGGCTTGAAATTTTGACAGTAGCTGCTAAACTAAATTCTCCAGAGAAGTACGCATGATTTTTACATGATCGGTTTAAAACTTTTGTTGCTATAAATATTCCTTCGCTGAATTTCTTCTGGATAAAAGTGAAACTTTTCTCCTAATGTTCGCCGTTTCTACAAAAATCAATATTTTAACATATACGTGTGTACTTCTCTAATTTAATGTAGATTAAGAAAAATTTTGCCTTTCTGTCCTTTTTGAGAGTGTACAGCATTTCCGCTGCAAGCCGCGGGGACCCGTGAGAAAAATGCGGTTTCACTTGGAGAGAGCTTCAGCGCCGCCATCTTGAGGCAAAATAATAACAAAAAATTGTTTTGTGTAGTTTAAGGTATGCGGCACGTTAGAGGCCTTTAAACCAACGATGTTCCATCTATGTTGTTATTTGACTACTTAAAAAATTCCCAAACTTACTCTGTGTTTTCAGGCGTTCATTCAGATGTTACGCCTTAATTACGTACAACGCGTTGACGGCCGCGTTGATTTCCGTAGACTGCAGGCTGATCAGTAGGCTGATTTCATTGTCAGCCGACAACTTTTCCGTCGACGGCACGGTAGGCTGGGTCGAAGCTCGCGGCACTCTCTCATCGCGCCCGACGAGAGAGAGAGAGAACTCGTTCTTCGCCGATTCTCGGGAGACTCTCATTTCCCCGGCGAACGCGGAGAACGCAACGTTGCGAGACTCGTCGGAGAGAAGCGCACGAGCTCCAATCAGCTAGCTGAAAATATCGCACGAGATGATGAACAGACGAAATTAATATAAATGTAATTCCGACACTCGTCTGTCTATCTGTCGTCGTCCCGATCCTCGTCGGTTGATTCTCCATTCGCCGATTGATCTTCCAGACGCATTAGAGACGCGGTGACGTCACACCGCCCATGTCTTCATGTGTCGCGACATTCAACGTGTTGAAGGAGACGGAAGTAACTCGGTGAAAGCTCGGGATCGTTAGTGAGAGAGTGACCATCTAGCTGAGGTCGCAGCGACACGCTCGGAACCGCCGACGCGCGCTGCAGCGCGATGATCGCCACGAAGAGTCACGACGAGGAGGAGAGCGAGCGATTACAAGGTAGCCGCGCTTTGGCGCTTCGGCGCTATCTTGGCTGGAATCGCGAGCTATTGAAATCGTATAAAACACGAGTGCGTCAGAGATCCGCTATCGACCCGCCGACGTGCTGATGTAAAATATATATACGATATAGGCGATACGAAAAATTCCGCGTCGCCGGCTCGTCGCTCGACGATCGCGAAAGCAAGCGCGAATTGTGTGCGCAGCGGAAGAGAGACATATGCAAGTAGAAATCGCCGACGCGGAGCGGCGCAGCGCGGCGAAGACTCGCCGAGGACTCGAGGCGATCGATGCGCGACTCGCGGCACGCTCAAGGATAACGTACGCGCGGCGTATGCAGAAATATTCGTCAGATAAACAAGGTGCGCGGCGGTCGCCAGCAGCCTTCGGCGGGAAACAGGTGATACCGCGAGCGCGACTCGATTTAGATCGCGAGCGCGCGATTGCTGAGCTGAGATCTCGAATGCGGCGCGAATCGCATCGGATCGGAACAACAAAATTGAAAGAGAGAGAGAGAAAGGTTAACGTCTCAATGGACGAACACGTATCCGTCCCAGTATCCGACCACTTTGAAAAAAAATATTTGCTATTTATTGTAACAATAATGAATGAAAGTAATAATTATTGTAAAATAAAAACTCCAGTGTTTGACGATTAGTTGGAAAAAATATATCCAATTTGATGCTTTTGTGTTAAAATAAAAATTAATTAAATAAGTATGCACCTGTGGTCTCTGGCGAAATAATGGTCGATCGTTAATGAAGTTCATTAAGAGATAGAGCATCTATATTTATATTATTTCCCGTTAGCGCGTACTAATTTTCTAATTGCAGTGAGACATTGGGATAAATTATATTCGTAACGAGCCATAACCTATTTCAACTGTCCGCTGTCGCTGGTACAAGTAATGCTTCGTTACTTGTGTATGAGTATTTCACTAATAATAGATATATACATTCAAATCACTCTTCTACTTAAGGGAATCTCAAGTTTTCGAATAAATGCAAATATTTATATCGAAACTATTCTTAATATTATATATATATATATATATATTGTATTTCTTTGCGACGACCTACGTTTAAACGTCCGGTTACCGGGACATTTACCTTACTTAAGTTAACATTTACCTTACAAAAATAACGAAGACCGCGAGATCGCGCTGAGAGACGCGCCTCGTGCACGCACCGTGGACTTAGCGGTTCTTTTGCGGACCTTCGTGATTAGATCATCGATTCCGCATCGCCTTTTTTCTCAATTACTTGCCGGCGACTCAACGATTCGCGCGAGCGTTCGCTCTTACGCATTCGCATTCCGATCGCCGAGGTGTTGCCGCCGGAGCGACGAGCAGTTTCGACGATCAGCGGCGTCGGATTATCAGCGCGAGCTAGCGGCTCTTATCGCTCGCAATCGGGAAAAGAAGCGCACGTCGTTATCGCGAGGGATGCACGCACGAGTCGGCGCGGTCGATACGCGGTCGGCTCGTGAAAAGCTGATTAGGCGCCGGAATTGCGCCTAATCGACGGCCCCTTCATTAACGAAGTATCGATTCCCTGGCGTTTGCCCAGTAATCTAGGATCGCTCTTTCCGGCTGACGAATGTAACATTGATAAGGCAGGAAGGGTCTAATCGCGATCGGCCGGCGAAACGATATAAATAGCGGCGAGACGCTTGAATCGATGCGGCTGCGCTCTGGACACGTCGCGCAATTCTGCCAATTCGAGAAACGTGTCCCTGAATCCGAGCTTTTCGCTGTGAAAATTAACGCGAAAGAAAAAGGAATTGAAGAAGAACCTTATAAAATGTAGAAACTTCAAAATCTTCAAAGAAAAACTGAAAAGGAAAAAACAAAAGATCCAAGGAAAAAAATTACAGCAAATTTTGGGAAATTTATTTAGAAAATTAGGAATTTTGGGGGAAATTGGAAAACTGGCCCCTTATACGCGGGATGTATTCGCTTGAATGAAAAAAGGAAAAAAAGAAAATATGCGGAGATGCACCTTCTCGGACTTCAAGTGGCGCATCGCGACGAGCGAGAAAAAATCAATATTGGCGCAACTTCGGCGGTACGATCCTCGTGATACGGAAGGACGTGACGGGGGAGGGGGAGGAGGAGGAGGAGGAGGATTCTTTTCCTTCGCTCTCATCTACATAGGAATAAAAATGAAAAATAGAGACCTCCAGAATCTCCACTTAGTCGTCGATTTCGGCATCGGTGCGGCTCCCGATTTTCGCACGGCTAAGTCCCGAATCGTCGGGCCGGACTAAAGCGCATCACCCCCCTTGCGTGCGGCAAAAGGTCGAAGGCTCCTCAGGGGGGACGAGCTCCCTCCCGCAGATGCAAGTGTGGCGGTAGCGGCGGCCACGCACACACACACACACACACACACACGCGCGCGCGCACGTACACGCAGGCGGTGTGAGCGAGAGCAGTCGCGTGTGCGTTACCGAAAGAAGAAACCACCCAGAAGAGAGAGAAAGAGAGAGAGAGAGAGAGAGAGATAGGAGAAGTGTTTTAGTCCGTCCACGGCGCTCTGTCTTTCTCTTTTTTTCCCCCGAGTCTTTCGGCGAGACTTTGTTTCCAAGTCAAGCCGAGAGAGATTATCGGGCCGGCCGGCGCTGAAAACTGAAGATAAAAGATACGAGTGATAATTAAGTAACACGCGCGAGCAGATTCGGCGGGGAAGAAGCGTCGTAGATCGGCCTTGGCGAGAAAGCAACGTTCCCCGGAAGCTCGCGTAATAAACATATTCCACACCAATGCTCCCCCCCTCTGGACCGGATGCCGACGACGGTGTTTCCGGTCAGCCGTTGAGCCGTCGGGAAATGCGCGCGTTTCCTTCATTTTCACAATTCCTCAGCGATCAAACGACGAAACCTTCTCGACTGACGGCCGAAGAGCGACTTGCAAAACCCTTAACCGTCGTGCGGCGAGCCGAAGGAAACGCATGTTCGCCGCGGCGTTTGCGTGAAATTGATCGGACGCGAGAGCGCGGATGAGAGAGCACGCGAGAGATCGCCGACTGGCGTCTAGCTGGAATTCTACAGAGTCGACTTTCATCGTAAGATCAAATCAACATCGAGAAGACAAACGTCCCGGTATCCGACCATTTTGAAAAAAAAAAAAAATATTTACTACTTATTTTCTAACAACAATGAATGAAAATAATAATTACGGTAAGAAAAACCCAATATTTGACGATTAATTGAAAAAAATATATATCCATTTTGATACTTTTGTATTAGGATAAAATGAATACATTAGTTTAAATCATTTTTCTGTATGTACGGAAATCTTAAGTTTTCGAACAAATGCAAATATTTATATAAAAACTGTTCTTAATATTATATATTGTATTTTTAGTGAACGACCTACGCGCTTAATTAACGTCCGGCTACTGGGACATTTACCTTACGTTCTGCTGCGCAAAAAAAAAATATTTATTACTTATTTTAACAATAATGAATGAAAGTAATAATTACGGTAAGAAAACTCCAATATTTGACGATTACTTAAAAAAAAAAAAATATATATATATATATCCAATTTGACACTTTTGTATTAAGATAAAAATTAATACATCAGTTTAGATCATTTTTCGCTAAGTTCTCGAATAAATGCAAATATTTATATCAAAACTGTTCTTAATATTATATATTGTATTTTTAGTGGACCACCTACGCGTTTAACGTCCGGCTACTGGGACATTTACCTTACGTTCTGCTGTGCAAAAAAAAAAAAAGAAAAGTGAGACTACAGAACAACGGAGGTTGCTCGTCGAGCTTCGCTCTCGCTTCGTCGCACGTCGAGCGCTATCGTCCAGTCGCGAAACCGGCGAAAGCCGCGAACACGCGCAAACACTTGGACTCGCGAATCTGCGGAGAACCCCGAGCCGACGTCGCCGCGCGCGTTTGACGTTCGCGCCGCCCGCATCATTTGTTCTCCGCCGCGGCCGACACGCGACGTGCCGCGTCGCGCGCGATCAGAGGGGAGTGCATTGGAGTGCGGGAAGGCGGTGCTTTTTCTACATAACAACACGCACACAATAAACACCTGCTCGACTTAGCGGAAGGGGGAACGCTCGCTCACTTACTTGGGCGAAACGGGCGGAACACGAGCGCGCTTGCGATTGGCCCGCGTCGCGACAATCGTCATCGATCCCATTCCCGATCTCGCTCTCGCTTCGCGCCCTTTCTCGGTAAAAGTCGCGATCGATAAAAAAGCTGCGATTCCAAGTAACCGGCCACCGAGAGAGCGCGCGATCGTATCGTATTAATAGCGAGCATGAGATCAGCCCGTGTCGGATCGGCTGGCTAAAAAGCGGCTAAAAAAAAACGAGGGACCGGGCGGAATTATCGATTATCGCAGGGCGCGACCGCGGGGGGAAGGTGGGGGGGGAGGGACGGTGAACAAACGCGCGAAAATCGACGACGACGACGGTGGACACGGCGAAGAAAGAAAAAAAGAGGAAAGGGAAAGCGCCATGTGGCGACGTTCAAACGCACTTAAAGCGATTGCTTTCGATGCTTCCCGACGCGTCTAAACCGTCATTAGCGTGTCATTAGCGAGATGTCACGTACGCGACAACGGGCGTGTTTAGCGCGAAAAGCGCGATGTGAAGGGAAAGGCCAACCGCGTGCTACGTTGAGGGCATTAATAAAGTACACAACTTTGCGCAACAAAAAGCTGGTGTCGGCGCAAGCGATCAAAAAAGCAGCGACCGGTCTGTAATTCCCTTAAGCCCGTGTCACACTGCGGATTGAGGATCGAGGATCGCGGATTGAAGATCAGATTTCGACGAATCAACGAACTTCGGTTTTGATTTGCGCTTTATCCCGATCGATCAAATTTCGACCTTCAATTCGCGCAATCCTTGATCCTCAATTCGTAGTGTGACAGACGGGCTTTACAAGAGTTACGTTCTTAGATGCATTTATATATATTTCTAGTGGATGGACTTTCAGTGTGCGGACGTCGCGAGTGCGACTTTTCTCTTGTTTTTCTTTTCTTTTTTTTCTCTCCGAAACGCACCGGTAAAAATAAGTCGCGCTAATCGTCGGCAGTTTGCGTTAAAAAGCGCGAAGTGTGATGTAACGACGGTGCAAAGTGCGCTCTCTGAACGCGATCTATAACGCGTGTCGAAAATATAATTAGTTTGTGACATGACTGTGAGACGAACAACTTCCACGTATCGTGTGATACGGAATATTTAAGATTTTGCACGCACGTATGTGCGCGCACATTTGAGCGCGATCGCAACTCTTCCACCGTTTCCCCATGAATGGAATTCAACCGCTGATACGATGATAGGATCATCGTTCAAGGCGCACGTTTTTTTCAACGTTCACACCGATCTCGCTGCAGATTTACAAAAAAAAAAAGTCGACGCGTCTGACGAGGACGCGTCTCCTCCGTTTCTCTTTTTCTCCCAGGCAAACACCCGACGTGTCGCAAGCGCGTGGAAAATTTGAGCATTTTACCTTTTTTACAAATTTACGAGCTGTTTTTGCAAGTGTAGACACGCACACTAGCGTGAAAGACGCGCGCGCGCGCGCGCGTTCGGTATTCTCCAAAAGTCACTTGAGTCTCGAGTATAAAGACACGTTTTCTCCTTGCCTGGTCTCGAAGAAAACAGACATGCTCTCGGTCGAAATTCGCTTATGCGAATAGTAAACAAAAGCACGGCGTGCGAGTGCGAGGGCGAAGGCGAGGGCGAGGGCGAGTAGCGGAAGGAGAAAGAAGCTGTTTTCGGGACGACTCGCCCGTTATTTTCGTCGCGTTTTTCGCGGGAGAAGAGCGAGAGCGAGTCTCTCTCTTTCTCTCGAAAGAGAGAGAGAGAGATAGCAGATGACTCAGTGCACGTTACAGTCGCTTCATTCATGCGCTTGAAATCATCCTCCTCGCGTAGAAATATACACGCACATGTATATACATATACACAGCCGGAAAAAAGGCAATTTGACACGAGGCGAGTCTTGCGCAAATGAACAGAAACACAGCGATACAGGAAAACTGCCGAGACGCGCGTCGTTTGAGCGCGCCGATTGAACAGCGATAGAAACCAACTTCAAGCGCAACAACGATATGTCCCCCTCCCGCACTCCGACCTCATCGGAGGACTCGCGAAACCCAGGCAGAGCGGAAAAATATGATGACATCAACATGACATAAAAATGACGAGAGAGTGACTGATAATGATGTAAAAATGAGTCTTCCTCGTCATTTTGAGACATCACTTCGTCATCGTGTCATCATGATGCTCTGCTCCGCCTGGGAAAAGCCAGGCGGTGAACCGATCGGTCGCGCGTCAACGACTCAAAAAGCTGAGGTTCGCTGGAAAGATCAGCACGTACCTGGCGACTTGCGCCTGTTCACCTGCCGCCTCAGGAACACAACTCATAGGAATCACACGCGGGCCGAACAGCTCCTGCCGGCATTATTTGCGCGCTGCGCCTTCCCCTCTCGTCCCGCTCTCTCACGTTCGCGCAATCACACGAAATTCGGCGTAACAGCGCGGCGCCCGTCTCGCGACCCCCGCGACGACGACGACGACGACGCCGAGAGCGGAGATCGGCCCGGGGGGAATCAGCGGCCGGAATCCGCGGCCGCCGTTCACCCGGTTTCCCCGAGCGCGAGGAAGCGCGTCGAAGAGGAGCGTTTCCCGGGAGCCGTCGCACCGTGCGTGCGGAATTCGCGGGACGCGTCTTCTTCCCGAACGTCGCCGCGTTTCGTGAACGACGCGTCCGACGTTGCGCGACGTTGACGAGCGATGCGCGCGCGGTTCACTGGCCGAGTCTCGTGACTACTCCCTCGCCGTCAGGATGAAGTGAGGCCAGCGTGCCGCCACAGAGCCGGACAACGGAGTATCTCAGTGAAGCTTCAACGGACGCACGCACGACCGCCACGAACGCGCACTGTTCCGCGCGGAAAAAAGACCTGCCGACTACTGACGAGACGCGATTATGGCGGCGCCGCGCGACGCGCGACGCGACCGCCCCACCACGGCGATCCTCAACCGTGACTCACTTCATTGCGCAGGACCGGCGGTGGGGGGTACCTTACACTCGGTGTACCGCGAATACGGAACCCCCTTCACCGCTGTACGTGCTGAGAAATGAGAATCGCTTCTCTTCCAAGGAATGATCTTATTTTCGGAAAATGTGTGCCGGTGAGACTCGATCGATTGTGCGCAAGTAAGAATCTCGAATTGTCTATAATTTATGTTTCTCGAGCGATTCTTCAGTCGAACGCCGCTCTTCTCTCCGCAAACTCGTGTAATATCCCGTCAGGGTCAAATAATTCAGAGCGTGCTTGGAATTGAAATTGAATCGATTAATATCGATGTTCGCTCGAGTGAAATTGAATGCTTTGTGCATGCGTAGCTCAAAGTGAGGAACGCATTGGGCGCTGACATTGTCGCGACACACGCACGCGTCATCCGGTACTCGCAGAAGTGCGCTTTCTTTAGAAAGTTCAGTTGTCAAGCCGCAGCGCGCTTGACAACTGAACAACGCTATCGTGAGGATGTTGACCCCCTTCATGGTGCTGAACACTAGCGGAAAATCGACGAAAATTTTTATTTCTCTCTCAACGTTAGAGAAAATGTGAATACAATAGTGATTAACGTAAATTTCTCATATTATAGCAAAGAAAACTTATATTTTCTTCGGCGTAGAGTAGAATATTATATTTGGCAATTGCAAATTGTAACTAGAGAGACAGAGTGTGTGTGTGTGAGAGAGAGAGAGAGAGAGAGAGAGAGAGAGAGAGAGAGAGAGAGAGAGAAGAAATCATGTGTCTATGAGCTAGTAATATTTATTTTTTTTTTATCGTAAATATATGTTATTTCACGACGAATTTAAATATGCGTGTTTGTATACATACGTATGTACATGTTATATTCTCAGACTAACGAAATTGCGTCCAACAAATTTCCTCAGGTATCTCCGATTTTATCTATATGGTTGTAACTTACATAACAATAATTACAAAACTATGTTAACGTCCATATAAATATCTTTCTCTTATGTAGGCACGTTCTTAATTGTATATACAATGTTATACCTCCGTGATGCGTCCGCGCGAAATATTGTATATCTCGATATATTGTCCCGTTGAGAATATCGCCCAGAATTCAAGAAATGCTATTCGTGGCCATTCTTCAACTTATACTCAACGCGATACGCAGGTGTTTAAGAAACGCAAAAAGCACCTAAATCTCGAAACGGACCTAAGAATTCGATTAGATTGTTACATGTGTGAATATATTTAAAGTTAAACTAATTAAGAGTTCCGGTAGCGCCGGCTGCATTATCGATCAGGCTATCGATCACTTTAGTAGCAAATATTCCTAAAGTCGAGTCACGTATCGACTATTAATAGCTATTACTTTAATAATCACAATAATAATATATCATTAATGATAATGTGAAATAGTACCCTTCAAAATATTTTAAACCTCTGGTAGCAGTATCGTATGCCATTAATTAATATTGTCTTATTATTACATTAGACTGCACCACCCGCATCAAGTGGAAAATCCTCTCTCGAAAAATTACTTATGCATTTGAACAATTTGTGTAATTCAATGAGTTCTTTTGCAGAAAAAAAAGAAAAAGAAAAAGAAAAAAAAAGAAAAGATTTAATCACCATGATGAAAAATAAAGCAATAACGTTTTCAAGAATTTCGCGAAATAATAAAAATGAAAAATGAGCAACCTTGTGTCTAAATATTTTACCGATCAGCTGTATCAATAACTGCCGTAATTATTAATACTTACTTGGACGAGGTGTTTTCGACATTTTTAAAGTAAACTTAATGCAGCTAACATTCCCACGATCTGTTTTCTGAACGAACCAATTAGACGTATAGAACGTAAGAGGACCAGAAAATATTATCTTACATTTCCAGAACCATTAAATACGTATATACGAAGTATACAGTTATCTTTATGCTTAGTACAATTATTAAGACGTATAATATACAAAGAACGGTAGAATACGAAATTTACATTCAATTAAGTAACTCATGTACACAAACTGTTACACTCGCTTACTACACTATGTTAAGTATCCACACGCGCATATCTATTAGAAAAAATATAATTTTTTTATTGTCCATTTCGAACGAGTAACAGCTGGTAGATGCACGAAAACTTTGATTTGTATATTAGAAGCAAAAATACGGTTGTAACTTTTCTTTTTTTCTCTTCATTTTTATACTATAGGAAATCTGAGTCACGCGCGGCGCATTACCAGTCTGTGACGCTTTCCTGCAAACTGGTAAAGCTGGAATTTCTTTTTCAGATATAATTGGTATCACGTGTCTTTAATCACTTACTCGATAAAGCGAAATAATTTCTTTTCCGCATAAAGAACAATCTATAGACCAACCTAAGCGACTTTCAGATAATAGCTCTATTTGGCTGCTAACAACAATATAGATAACAGACTGTGAACATATTGTATATGTACACACTGTCTTTCATGTATCCTATCTTTTCCATAAGTAATATGCCGATATAAAAAGGAGACTTTCCTGTGAGATTGTATCATACATTAGTAGTATAAATATACTACGATACTTTTTTACTTTCGGAATATACTAAAAGTCCTACGTAGAGATCAGTTAACGAAGCTCTCATTTTCAAAAGAATATATATTGCATTTCATCATCACATAGATACTTAAAAATGCAACGGAAAATATTTGTCGTATTTTTATTTATAACCGCGCACGCACGTATAAATATTATAACGTCGATACTCCCTGATTATTACGTCACAGGTTGCTCACTTCGATGAGCACAATGTTAATTAAGCTCTAACTCGTCCAAGTTATAATTGTATACGTAATTATTTCTCTTTTTTTAAGATAAACTCTCTCTCTCTCTCAACATGGTATCCGTGTATCAAGCTATCGTATTTCTCTACGAAAGTTTTACATAATATCCGTCTACTATATAAATAAGGAAATTGTGTTGGATACCGAATGATTATTATATAAACAATCAATATATATATATATATATTGATTGTATATATATATATATTTTGTGTATATATATATATATATCGGAATATACCTAACAGTTCGTGTATGTACAATCGATCTGAACTTGCGCACGTTTCAATTGAACAGGACATCTCGTGATTGTGATACAATTCCAATGTAAAAATACTTTCTCCAACATAAAACGGAAAAAAAAAAAAAACAAATATAGATTTTGATCTTTCACATGTCTTTTGCACTTTCGTTGTATAAAGTCATTAGTGGGATTCCAGTCACTCTGGCGTCGCCAGTGATACAATGATTGCCCTCAACTGCAACGCATCGAAGATGAAGACGACACTTGCAGTTTACAATTCCGATCTCAATCGTTCGTTTCTGGCGTTAAGAACGCCTTCTGAGCAACCCGGGCCTCCCCGACGCCAAAGAAATCGGAATCCGCCCAACGTATTCAAGGCATCTAACACTTACGTTTACATCATGTGATGCATGTGACATCACGATAGTAACGTCATGTTAGGTCACGACTTACATTGCACTGACAGTATTCGTCACCCCATCTGACTTTCCGGTTCGGGTTTGTAATCGGACATGGTAAGGATATAAGGCACGACGCTAGCGACGCTTACTCGGCCAATGAGACCTGCGAAAAAGAGATCTTCCAAGATCCTAGGATTAATCGAGCGAAGAGGCGCTAGCCTCAGGAGAAGACGAGGTAATCTATCGGAGCCCACGCGTTGCTGCAATTCTGTCCACGCTGCGTCTTGAAGAACTTCGACCTTCCTACGCCAGACACCTGCCAGCATATTGTCTACGAAAAGAAAAACAGCTGAATAGAGTCTTCGTCACTTACATTCACTAGAGAGAATGGATATACATTGCCTCTCCCGCGTTCCCCCTCTCTCACTCACTCTCTCTCTCTCTCTCTCTCTCTCGCTCTCCCCCTCTCTGTAAATTTACATACCAGGGCTGAAAAGCGTCAGAGCCTTGAGGTATGCGTATTCCACGGAATCGACTTGCAGCTTGTGCAGGGAATTCACGCAGTCCTGCAGCCTGCATATGTGTTCCGTGAGGGACTTCACCTTGCTAGCTGTGATCTTTTCTTGCGCTATGCTAGCTTGCAAGTGATTGATGATCGACGACAAGATACTGGGAAGAGACAACGTGTACGCACACTGCGCGAGACCCAATGTAAATAATTGCCCCCAGGAACTGCGCACTAGAGCCGTTTGAATTTCAGATCTACGGTAAGGGAGAAAAAGGAGTGTACATTTCTCGGAGACAATGCCGCGCTGCCTGTAAACGCAAACGTAGCGTTGCAAACGTAGCGCGCGTGTTTATGCGCAGACTTGGACGCGCGCTACGACGAAAGGTACATTCACAACAACACTCACGGCAAGGCTTGAAACGCCGGGATTCCTCGCGCCCAATGCACAGACAAAAATAACAATCTGGCCGCGCTCTCGCAAATGTAATGAATAGATAAATACGCAGGTGCCGGGCTAGGCGGCCTCAATTCGAACAACGTGTGCCGCTCGGAGATTAATTGGCCGGTCCATTCTTCGTCCGGCTCGCTCGAGCCGTTCACGGTCTGCAAGCGAACACGTCGCGGTACATTAAAAATACCTCAGTCGCACGAGGATAAGTCGCGAAGGTGTAAGACAATAATCGCTACTTACGTCACCGATGAGCTTAGCCATACTGTCCAACGCATGAGAAATGAGCAAGCGTTCGCGCGCTAAGGTCAAGGCGTCGCTAAGATCACTGTCACTACTTTGGTCTTCCATGCTGGGGCTCTCGGGCTGCTCCCAAGCCGGAGGTGCCTCTGGCACGGGTTGCTGCGGTTCTGGTTTCACCCTGGCGCTACGATTGCCCACTTTCGTGGCGGTCGAGTCACCTAATACGGGTTTCCTTTCGTGTTGAACAGCTGCAACAGCCGTGACAGACAGACGTTACTCGCGATCATTGTATCCCACGGGCTGTTGTCTCTCTCTCGAGAAAACTCAACGCGACCCGAGATCAACTCACAATCGCTTCTCATGCCCATCGCCAGACACTTCTGAAGTCTACAATACTGACAGCGATTTCTATGGTGCTTAGTAACTTCGCAATTTTTGCTCCCTCTGCATTGGTAGCCCAGCTGCTTGCGAATGCTGCGCTTGAAGAAGCCCTTGCAGCCCTCGCAGCTGATGGCACCGTAGTGCCTGCCGCTGGCTCTATCTCCGCAGACCACGCACAGTTCTAAGGACAGTCCCAATCCCAACGAGCCGCGCACGTCTCTCGCTAGTTTCACCTGCGAGAAAAGAGATGAGCGAGTAATATCATTCGTGCATTAGTTGCGACAATCAAGAGACTGCCGCCGCCGCCGCCACATTGCGCGCGATTGCGATATACCGGTGTGATAACGGGCTACTTACTTCGACGTCGACATTATTTAAATGCTCCATACCGGAGTGCAAATGGACCATTCCCGTGTGATGGCTCAAACTGCGGAAATCCCTTCCTATCTTGTGCTCTATCTTGTCGTCGTGCAAATTGTCGACGTGATTATTTTGATCTCTATCTAGGTCTCTCTGCAAAGATAAACGACCAGCGCTTAATCGAGCGTGAACCATCAAATCCTATTAGGGAGAAATAATAATCGATCAATTCCACAGAAAGACGTGAGCCATACAATTCGACGGGACTTGCGCGTTATTACCATAGCGGGATGATGGCCTATATTATGAAAATTCCTGCCCAACTTCTCGGGTTTCTCGTCGTGCAAGTTTTCGACGCGATCGGCCGGATCAATGTCCATGTCCCTCTGCAACGAAAGAAGGAGATTTCCAAATTATTCGTGGCACACGCGACGCGTCCAGTCAGTCCCCCTCCCTCCTCCCGTCACCCGAGATTCCTCAACTATATTACTTCCGTGTGTGTGACACGTGTGTCTTTCAAATTCCAAAGTACCTCCTTTTATATATATATATATATATGTAACAACCAATTGATGTCGTTTTATCGCGTATCGTTAATCCGATAAAACAAGACGCAGTTGTTATTGTATAAAATTATTATTCGACAAGCACACACGATATGTGTGTCTGGCCTAAATTAATTCCTAACAGTCGTATGCAAAATTTATATAACATGTTATCGCTGTTGTTATTCGGACTAATTCACAGCAAAGGGGAAAAAAACCTCCTTTTAAATCTGTGATAACCAATTGATCTGTGATAACCAATTGATATTGTTTTATCGCGTATTGTTAATCCGATAACAAGATGCAGTTATTATTACTGTATAAAATTATTATTTGAGCAGCACGCAAAACACACACACACACACACACACACACACACGTGTCTGGCCTAAATTAATTCCTAATGATTGTATGCGAAATTTATTCAAGATATTAATATTATTATTATTGTTGTTGTTGTTGTTAATCGGACTAAGCAACAGCGAAGAAGGAAAAGACTGGCGCGTCTCCGGCAACGAACCTCCGCATCGACGTCCGCCGCGTGATCGTGATGGTGGGACAGACTGCGAAAATCCATTCCGACTTTGCGATCCGCGTCCTTCTCGTTCATACTATCGTGATCGCGTTGCTCTCTGTGGTCCCTGTCCATCTCTCTCTGCAAAACGGACCGACGCCTCCGTTAGACGACGCGGCGCTGGGCTTTTCCAGGTGCCGATATCTCTCATAATAATACGCGCGCGCGCGCGCGCGCGTTACTGTTCCGTTAAAACACGGCGGCGTTATTACACGGCCGAGCGTAAGCGGACCCGGCGGCCGCGGCTCGGTTCTCCCTTTAACGCGCGTTAAACAAGCATTAACAATCTTCAGCCGGATATTGCGATGCTCGAATAATCACCTCGGAGCGCGCCACACCGCGCCGCTCGCGTGATTCGAATATTCTCCCGTGGCGCACATATCTACCTTGTATTAACGTTAACACGACGACGCGTACGGAGGGATTCGAAACTCTCGGCGGCGCGAAGGAAAACAGTCCGAGTGCAATTTCTCCCCTCCCTCCCCCCTCTCTCTCTCCTTCTTTCTCCGATAGAAAGAATACCGCGTAGATTCGTACGCTAAGTCGGAGCGCAATTTCAAGATACCGGTACGGCGCGCGCTGAGAAACGAGCGTGCACCCGGGTGCCATAAAGTGAGAGATTAACGACGAGTAACGAGCGAGAGCCGCGTGCGGAATATATCGCGCCGCGGAATATAACGTACAAATATTGAGCACACGATGATATCGATTATTTGCGGCCGCCGAGGCGTTCGCTCTAATCCGCCGAAGAGACCCTCCTCTCTCACGCACGCACACACCCGCTGCCGCTGGAGAGAAAGACAGAGACAGAGAGAGAGAGAGAAAGAGAGACAGAGAAGTCACACGAGTCTAATCAAAGTCGAATTAAGGTACACGCGATAATTCACGAGTCAATGCGCCGCGCAGCCCTGCGGCCAAGTGCAGTGTCCCGACGATATCGATCCGATAGCGCGCGCGCGAGGCCTCGTTCTCGAGGTCCCGCGAGGCCATCCCGCCGGGATGGAAAAAGGAGAAAGACAGGCGAAAGCGCGCGCGCGCGCGAGAGAGAGAGAGAGAGAAAGAGACGATTGCGCGATCCAAAGTGTTGGGAGAACTAAGCAGGGGATGCGGGATAAAAATGTAAACTGGAGCATTTGTCGGCCGTCCCCACCTGCCGGGAGAAACTCCTCGCCCCTGGTCCCGTCGCCTGCCCGCGCCCACCCCGCGTCCTCCCGGCCCCGTTTTCAGAGGAGGTGAAAGAGATGGTCCCGAGTTTCTCGGTTCGTAGGTTGCTACGCGGTTAGGTAGGTAGGTGCATGCCGATGCCCGGCGTCGCGCTACGCTGCGCCGCGCTGCTCCGGCTGCTGTCATAGAGCGGAGTGCTGGTCCATTTCCATACGTCCGTAACTCGACCCGCGCGACGAATCCGCTCGGGGAACCGTAGCTTCATTGGAGATCTCTCTCTCTCTTTCTCTCTCTCTCTCTCTCTCTCTCTCTCTCTCTCTTTCAAAAACGCACTATACGAGCACCTCGTCGAGAGGTCCGATACGAGCCTGCTTTAGTCGTACGAAATACAGTACTGGCGACCGTCTTCTCACCTCCCGCCTGCCTATCACTATTACTATCACTTTGTATTAATCTATCATTGTGTATGCTGCTATTTTTGGTATCGCTCCGTTACTTGTTAATACTCACCCTGCGTATTCTTTCAGCCGATGTAAAACTCAAAAATTCTTTCTATTCATTTTGGACTTCCTTGCACTTCAGGGGACTCTGTCCCAGAGCGCTCAATAAATAACGCTTTCTCTCTCTCTCTCTCTCTCTCTCTCTCTCTCCGTCGCGCGCGCTCAGGGAGTTTCGGACCTCACGCGGCCGCGATTCCGACTCGCGAGCTCTCGTGCGAGCTTGCGGCGCGCAATCGTCGATCGCAATCACGAGCTCGTGTCGTGCGCGATATAATACGCGAAAGGACGCGCCCGAGCGCATTTTGCGATTTCTCAAAGGAGCTTGAATGCTGAATCCCGATATCCCCGTTGCTCGAAGCACCTGCGGCTCGCTCGGCCGCTCGGTCACGTGAATCGAGAGTACACGCGCGAGTTTGTGATTCTCCAGCAGCACCCAACGCGGGTTCTGCCGTTTCGTCGGTAGCTTACTGGCTTACTGGAAATGAAGCGGAGCATCCGGCGGCTTGAGAGTTTCTCGCGAGCTTCGACGTCGCCCCCGCGCGTTCTCAGTCCGCGATGGCTCGTCGCATCCGCCGAAGGCCCCAGGCACGCGAGGCGCGCTCGTTTTCCGCCGGTTAGGTGCTCTCGGAGAAGCGGCCTCAAAACAACGCGCCGCTATCGTCCGCTCTCGACCTGCGTGAATCTCGCGACGATCGCGACGGTCGTTCTTCTACCCGGGTCGATTGCGCCGCGGTGGGCGATAAGCGCGAAGCACACGCTGATAAGCCGCGAGTAAGAACCACTCCGGCGGCGACGCTCTTACTCGCGGCTCGAAAGTCGGGAAAACTGAACGGCGGAGGTGAAAAAGAGAGACGAGGAGAGAGAGAGAGAGAGAGAGAGAGAGAAACGAGCCGCGTGTACGCTCTCTTTCCCTCCGGTCCGCGAAGAAGACGTGGGCAGTGGTCGTACCCGGTCGAAAGCGCGAAAGGTCAGCGCGAGTTGAGAGTGTACACGACGGGCGCGCGCGCATGAGAGAGAGAGAGAGAGAGAGAGAGAGAAAGAGAAGGCGCGCGCTCGCGCGACTGCCTTTCTCGGCGAAAAGGAAAAAAGGAAGCGCTCGCTCGCTCGCTCGTTCGCGCCGCGAAATCACCCCGCGAATTCGACACGCTCAAGCGGCGAAGAAGAACAAGTGGCCGCGCGCCGGTCACAGCTGTGATCCGTGCGCCGGAGTTGGCTGGTGATCGGCGATCACCGCGGATCGAAGCTGCCGAAGAAGCCGTCTCTCGCTCTACGGATGAGCCGACGAGTACTGTTCGACCTGCCGGCCGAATCCGTAGAGGAGCACGCACTCGCGCGCGTACATACACACATACACGCGCGGCACACGCACGCACACGACGTACATAAGGTCAAAAGGACGTAAGGACGCAGCATAGCCGGGTCCGCCGTGCGACGAAACGAAACTCGGCCAGACACCTCGCGGAGAGTCCTCTCGGCGGCGGCGGCGGCGGCGGCGATTCACTTTCGATTCCGTCGCGGAGCGGACTCGGAGCGGACTCGGAGCCTCGCCAAAGTGTCGGCGCGCGCTCGCGCTTGCGCAAAGTTCCACGGCGGAATGCACGGTACACTACCTGTTGTGCGTCGGGTCGGGTCGCTCGCTCGGCTGCCCTCAGGTGTGTGTCGTTAGCGCGCGCGCGCGCGCGCGCGCTTACACGGGTCACGTATCTCGACGACGACGAAAATACGTGGAGCGGCAGAGAAGAGCGGCCGAAACACGCAGCGCGGTCGCGATCTCGCGAGAGACGCGTCCAGACGCGCCGGAGCGTCGCCGCGTTCTCGTGGCTTTCGAGAAGCGGCGCGCCGCCGCCGCCGCCGCCGTCGCCGCCGTGCTTCTCTCGCCGCAACCTTGCGCGCAGGTGAACGCAGCCGGTCGATCGGTCGGTCGGTCGGTCGAACGGACGTGCGTGTGTGCGAGCGAGCGAGCAGGTAGGCAGGCCGTTCTCTATAGCGAACGCAGGTTGGCAGGTCACTCTCGTGTGTATCCGAGCCGAGACACGCCGGCCAGGTGCATTCTTGCTTGTCCTGCTTGCCTGCTTTCCTCTCTACCTGGGACTCTAGCGCGACTGCAAGAGGCAGGCGATTCTCTCCTCGGACGAGGAGGAGAACGTGCCGGGTTGCGTTGTGTTATGTCACGTAACACGCCCGCGATTAATAGCGTGGCCTTCCTTCTCTTCCTCCTCCTCCTCTTCTTTCTCTCCTCTCTTGGTTTGCCCGGCCGAGTACGCAGGATAAAATCCTTCGTCGGCGGAAAATTACAGGTGGAGGGCGACGTCGTTGCGCGTGTAATTTGGACCCGGGCGCTGTGTGTGTGTGTGCGTGTGTGAGCTACGAGGTCGTTTTGTGTCTCCGTTTCGGGTAGGTCGCGTCCCCGCCCCGGCGGCGGCGGCGAGGGGGGGAGGAGCGATCTATCGGCTGTCATTGACGTCAGAGGCGACCTCACGATATAATCATTGAGAAAGGTTAAAGGACAAGCGACGCGAGTAATAGGCAATTTAAAAGGACGCGTACAAAACTCGGGGTGGCGATAAGAGACGATGGAAGCACAGCCGGCAATAAGAAGAAGCGGCTCTCGCGTGGGAAGGAGATGTCTGAAGAGAGCTATCGGCGACGCAAAGTACGCGCGATACGCGCCGTGCGAAGCGTAAATAAACGATAAAAGATAAATGAGACGAGGCAGGAAGTGTGACGGATATGAGAGACGGGAGAAAAAGCGACGGATCAATTCTCAAGAGAAACTTGAAGAGGAAAATTAACTCTTTCCATTAGGATGTCCCCTCTGAGGGGGACATAACGATTTTATTAGTGATTATTAGACAGGATAAACTTGTGCGAGCGAAAAAATTTCTCAGAAATACATGTTTTCATATATTTTCATGTTTTCATTTCATTTTGTTAAGTTATTTTGTTAAATTTCATTTTGTGATTTCGTAAATTGACAGTTTCTGACGAAATTTCTGATCCTGATTTATTCAGTTTACCGAACAATGGCGAAACGAGCCTGCATATCGATGCATATCGATGACTGTTTCACACGTTGCCACAAGTTAGAAAAATGTAAGATATGAAATTTTGATTTTTTGTCATAAATACGTTCCTCAATATGTCCAAGGATTCATATTAACCAAATATCATTCCAACAAATCACTTGGTTTCAAAAAACTACGCTACTTAATACGACGCAATTGCTGTTTGCACATTTTCCTGAAAAAGCGAGATGGCTCCGGGTGCAAAGGGTTAAAATACTACCGAGAGAGGAATAATCATACTTGATTATCCTCCTACTGATACTAATCAGGAGGAAATGATCCTCAGGTGGCAAATCAACGATTGTAAAAATTCAAGTTCCTTTTCTTCCTCTTCAAATATTACTGTACAAAAACACCTGTAGGTGTATAAGGGACCCGGAGACCTTTTAGTCAGCAAGGTAATACATTGTAGTTTTAACCCTTTCACTATTAGTGGCAAGTATATTTCCCACCTTTTCTTCATTCAATTTTGCGTTGTAAATCACGTTGTAATTTTGAAGAACTGATCGGGGATTTGAGTTTTCCAGATAACTGAACAGTTGTTCAACATACTCCAATAGGTTTTTACACCCAATTATTCACTTGTGATTATTTATGACAAATCAAAGTTGAAAAAAAATGCTCTTTTTCAGGGAAAAATCGATTCCTCGGAGAGTATTGAATGTAGAGGTCAGAAATTTTCGCCAAATATTTTTCTGATATTGTACAAAAGCATATATTTTCGTCAGTATTTTTTTGCAGGTTAGATTGTTTTTTATAAACAAATATTTCTACAAAAACGGCCGAAATTTGATTCTTTTGCACCTTTTAGCTCTATTTTCCTAGTTTTTTCATTCTGTATCTCCATCTTATCCATACTATCTAATATTATTTTACTCAAAAATGAATGTTTGATAAATCTCTAGTAAGCATAATATGCGTAAGTATTGAACATTTCCCCACATAAATTTTTTCCAGCTCGATCGAGTCCCATCGTCTAGAATGATATGTTCTTATTACGACCTGGTCATTATTTAATAATAATTGGAATTTTCATTAATTTTGTACATCATGATCGCCATATTGAGTCCGCCATTTCGAATTTCGCAAATCTGACTTTAGATTCGTAATCGGCGATCCAAAAAACGTAGGACTACCAAATATTTTAATAATTTTCTCAAGGGAAGTTAATTCAGCGGTGGGAGGGTTAAGGAAACAAAGCGCGAATGAAATCCAACCGGATAAAATAGGCCAAGTTCCTGTTATCCAATACCTTTTGTATATTTTATTCAATAAAAAAAAAAAGAAAAGAAAAGAAAAGAAAAGAAAAGAAAAAATACTACCGAGGGATGTCCGCGGTCGGCCGCGTTGCATTCCGCGTATTCGGTTCGCTCGTTCTCGTCGTCAGCCGTCTCTCCTGAGAGAGCGGCCCGCTCCCGCGGCGCGCCCCGATCGGGGCTTCTCCCGGTGAACGTTACAAGTTATGTCATGTAACACGCGCCCGCGATGACTTATCGGCCGACGTCGTCGAGGTCGCCGCGGCTGAGAACGGGAGAATAGGTCGAGAGCGCGGATACGGCCGCGCGGGGATTTAATATCGACGACTGCGACTCCCCGACGACGGCATCTTCGCGAAATGTCTGGCCGACCTCGCGCGAGTGTCTGCGACTGCGAAGAGTTATTAAAAATTCGAACGTCAGAGCACACACTATCTAATCGTAGCTCTCGGACGGGTAACTTGAAAGGAGCGTTCCGAGTGGTTCGCCGATAACGACGACGGAGGGGGGAGGCCGAATTTTCGCGATCGACTAAAGCGTCGTCTCCAATGGCAGTAAGCGGTAAGAAGTAAGTAAGTGAACAGTAAGAAAAATGCACCAGAAACCACAGTTGATTATTTTCGTCATAATCGACTGTGATTGTTTTATTTCTTACTCCGCTTACGCTTACTTCTTACTGCTCACTGTCATTTGGTCTGTTCTTTTCAGCTGCACTGCGGAACTAGTGCAATAAATTAGAATGAGACAACTATATTTTTTCTCACTTTAACTTATTGCACCAGTTCAGTAGTGCAGCTGAAAAGAACAGACCAATTGTACGACGACGCTTAATTAGTCTCTCTCTCCCGCGTTTGGAACGTAGTTCGCGCGCGCTTTGCGGACTTTTTTCGCGCACGTCAGCGACCACCAGTCACATCGCGTACCAGCCGATTCCCGGGATCGCGCTCGGTTACATGTTTACGTATCCTTCGACATTATTCCCAGCGCTCGTTTCTTTGTCGCCCGCTCGCGCGCGCGCGCACGCGCGCGCACCGATCGACTTGTTGACGATGGATCGTCGGAGTCGCACTTTCGCCGCGCTCTTATCAACAGGTAGATTACGGCCTTCCGACAACTGCGTTTTAATCGCCACGACGCGCGGAGACGCGCACGTCGCTTTCACGGCTCATGCGATGCGGGCTCCGACATTTTGCAACCAGCAGAAACCCCCGACCTTTTCAGAAACGCCGCCGTGAAATTGTCGCCTCCCTCGCGGAGAATTTTTCCACATCTCCCGCCACCTGCGGAGATCTCTTTTCACGAGAGAATCGTAAAAGACAGACAGAGGGAGAGGGGGGGGGAGAGAGAGAGAGAGAGAGAAAGAGCGTCCGTAGGACTACAAAGGACTATAAAGAAAAGAAAACAGCAGGTCTAAAGAGGCCCAACGCAACGCTCGGGAGGACAAGAAAGCGCGCTAATTTACAAGTTCAAACTCCGGGAGTTTCGTCATACTTGCCGAAAAACCGTACACCCCCCCCCCCCGCCGTGCCTCCTCGCCGTCCTTCTCTCGTCGGATTTACCATTCCGTCCGTCCCGCTTCCCCGCATTTCACACACGCGTACACACACACGCGTCGCACACACCCGTGCGAACGGGCGTCGGGTTTTTCGTCGAGCCGAAGAATAGCCGCTCGATTACGTGTTGGTGGCTTCTAACCTTTCGAACGGTCGTTTCGAGCGATCCACGGGCTTCTCGGAACCACCACGAGCCGGCGAGAAGAATAGTCATCGCTGAGAGAGTAATTACGTCTATATGGCCGATCCACGGCAGGTAAAGGTCGCTCGTGAGTCCGAAGGTTACCTCCTACTTATCTACCTACCTACCGAGATCGCGCGCGCATCGACACAGATTTATTCTCGCCTCGCCTCGCCTCGCCTCGCCTCGCCTCGCGCGCGGTGCATCGGCATCGCTTGACGTCGCGATGCGGTCGGACGCGATTCTTTCTCGAATGCGCGCACGAGGAATGAGGGGGGGGGGGGCAGAGAGAGAGAGAGAGAGAGGCACGAGGGATGTCCGAAAATAAAATCGCACACGCAGATGCACGTGCGTGACGACTGGCGGGGGCTTTGTTTGAACGATTACGTTACTAAAGCCTGGGACTCGATTCTCGAGAAATGTCGCGTACGAATCGTATCTCATGAATGTCACTAGATATTCACGATTCTCAGCCAATCAAGTCGCGCCCCATTGATGAAATATCGTATACGATATTTCTCACAAATTTTCGAGAACAAGGGCCGTGGAAGGGCTGATTTCCTTCTCGCGGGAATACGGGCTGCTCTCCGCTATCGTTCGAGGCCTACTTTTTCAAGACGATCCATAATTCGCGATGAACGAACGCGGGTCACCCCGTGAGGAAGCCCCGGGACGCGCGCGAGGTCCTTTAAATCTGAACGACGCGAGGCGCACGATCCCGGTCGTGCTCGTCTCCTCGTCGCCAAGCTCCTCGGCCGGCGATCCGGCCGAACGATCGATCCGTCGGAAGAAAGAAATGTATCGCAGATGAGAACGACCTGTAGCTGCCGGAGCGCGTTACGTCACAGACGAGCGAGCGCGAACGCTTTCGGCTTTTCGGTCGCGCGACACCCAGAGGATTCGCACGCTGGACTCGCCTTTGATCCCGTAGCCGTCGTCGTCGTCGTCGTCGTCGTCGTCGTCGGCGGCGGCAGCAGCGCTAAAACGATCGTCCGGAGCAGCTCGGCGACGAGTGCAGCGGGCCATGGCTCGCGCGAGCGGCAGGAAGGCCGCGATTTCGCGGTGACACCATTGAGCGGACTCGAGTGTGCTCCTGCTGTTGCTCTCCTCGATCGGACCCGATTCTCCTCGCTCACATCACCAAGCCGGAATTCGCCGCGATTGTAGCGCGAGGGGAGAAAGGGGGGAGAGAGAGAGAGAGAAAGAAACGAAGAACGAGAGAGAGAGAGAGAGAGAGAGAGAGGAACAAACGGAGAGAAACACACAAGGCACGTCGTGGAGAAGACTCTCGAGCTCACACGTCACACTCCTCGTCGTCGCCGTGGAGAACGCTCGGCGAGATTCGCAGACGGACGCGCTCCCGTTGTCTCCGAAGCGACGGGGCGTGCTCACGAGTCGCGGATCGCAAAAGTCGTTCGTCGTTCCAGCTGCGCTCTCTCGCACTTCCTGCGTTCCAAGGTGGAAACGGGTGCAAGGTTCGAGAGCTCCGCTGGCCAAGAGAGAGAGAGAGAGACAGGAAACGAGAGCGAGTGTAGAAAGTGCAGCTGAGACGAGCGGACTCGCCGTCGCGAGGAGACGTGTGGGCGCGAGCGAGCGAATGAACGAACGAACGAACGAACGAACGAACGAATGAGCGAGCGAGCCAGTCGCGGCGCAACGGATTTCACATGCGTCGAGCGAACTCGCGGCGACGAGCGGGACGAGTCCGCTCGCCCGGCGGGAACTCACCTTCGTTGCCAGCAACGACGACTGATCCGTCCACGCGTCATTGGGACCGTTCATAGCGTCGCACTACCAGCCACTCCGTCGCGCATCCGCGGGTTAGAGTTCATAACCTCTTCTAACCTTTATCTTTTCACCGTCTCCTGCCTCCTTTCCTCCCCTGGCCACCGCACTTAACCCCACCGCCCATCTTCCCACACGTATCCGACATCACGTACCACCACCGTTGCGTCATCGAATAATGGACGAACGAGCGACGCGGCGGCAGCGGCACGCGACACTCGCGGGCTCCGCAGCGCCGCGCAGCGGCGTCAGTGGGAACTATCGGAGCCGCCGCCATGTCGGTCGCGCGTGACGTCACCGGAGCGGTGTAGAGCGGTCGATTCGAACGAATGTCGCACGCAACGATACGCGCGAGTACAATTTTCGGAGGCTGTCGAGCGCACGTATCGTATCAAGCTTAGCTGATACGACAATTGATAGACAATTTCGGCAAACTCAAGTCTTTGAAAAAGAAGAGATGAAAGGAAATGGAAATAATTGTGGGATGATTGTAACGAGATTTTTTTATGTAGTCCCAAATGTACGTAACTTATTTGGGATACAAGTAGATTTATAAGAAAGCAGCGAAGAGAGAGAGAGAGAGAGAGAGAGTAAACTCAAGTTTCTCTGGAAAAGAAACATACCGAGAAACAGATCTACAACAGAGGTTTTCTGAGGCGTCAAACTATGAAAAAAATTAGTTTATTGCAAATAGTTCGTACAATGTGGGGTACATAGAGCTTTCCGTATATTTTTACGAAAGCTTTACGGCTAAATATAACATGATGACTACTGCTAGTATCACTACTGTCGTCATTGATAGTATAGGTCTGTTCATTTTTTAGCTGCACATTCGTCACTTTGTTTCTTGTCTCTTTCTCTCTCTCTCCAAAAGCCCAAATATACATACACACATATATACATACTTATATATATATATATATATATATGTATATGTATAATGTTTCATTTTTAAAGGTAGAAGATGCAACGCTAAAATGAACGGAACTCATATCATCATCATCATCATCAGGACACAATTTGAGTCATGTTCAAATACATATCCCGTCTTTTGCTTTCGTCCTGCTTTGCGATGACTATACGATGTGTCCCTTACGCAGTACGTACATAAAAAAAAATTGATACATGCTAATCATATACAAAAAAAATAAAGATAATTAAGCTGCAGTATCATGTTGTACCCATGTAGTGTGTGCTACAAATTTGGTTGTCACTGGAAACACGTTTTTACGTATTTCTTTGCATCCGATATACGCAATAATATAATGTAAATTACGGTAATGTCGATGAATATTTACACATAAACGTGACTATTACATTAAATGGTTGCGTAGAGCAATGTGTGCATGAACTGGTCATCATCAGCTGTAACGCGGTATTAAAGCTCGATATGATACCGCAGCAGGTATCAGTGTACAAACAGTGTAATCACTTTTGTACGCAATATTTGAGAAACTTTTGACAAAATTCCTGTATCTCCTGTATCCGACACTTCTCTTGCTCGCTTTTACAATTATGAACCACCTTTCGGCGTTTGCTAGAGGTGTTATTGCACGACTTCTCTGAAGATGGATATTTAGTATCGGGGTATCTTAAAAAACATTGCCCTGAAGAATTTATACTCTGCTAGTTAATAGTACTTAATTATCTTTGTTGCATATCGTGACACTCGACAGAGATCAATTTTACATCTTGTGTAAAACTCAGTAAATGTAATTTCGCGCGAGAATTTAACGCATATCACCATACATGTATATTGTTATGTACATGAACACTTTCGTCAATGTCTTAGCATTGTGGTGGTAAAAATAATACTTAATGAAGATATTATTATGGTAAGTAGATATTCTCATTGAGAGATGACATGTTTCTGGGAGAATTATATTGGCAATAGGTGAAAGCACGATATATTAACCACAAATGCCAAAAAGAATGCGGAAATTTGGTCAGCTGACAAACGCAAATTAACTAAATGACAGTTCTCAGTTAACCGATGAACATATCGCACCAGTTTTGATTTTTGGATTTCGGTAATAAACCCATGTTACACATGCAGAAGCTGTCTCAAATTACGTAAATTATGCATATAAATTGGCATGAATAAAGTAGCACTGGCCTACTATTATGTAAATTATTATCTCTAAAATAATAAAATCGAGAATAGAGAACATATTTGAAACTTACTACGACCTTATGAAAGTACTAAGTGACTAAAAACACGGGAGTAAAAATAATCCCCCGCAAAATCCTTACCCATTAAAAGGAATTTATACATGACACCTTTAACGTTCTATATACTATTACTGTTTTATAGCCTATCACCGCTAAAATTAACAATAGAAACTGTCATTATTAGTAGTGAACTAAGCAAATGCTACACTAACTTATGTCAAATGTAATTAATGTCCGTATGTCAAAGGTACAAAGCACCGTGATGATTTTATACATAGGTTCCAAATATGATTGTTCTGTTAATTATTCCAGCAGGTACCGTCAGTTGATCACAAAGATTCTGCACATTCAATTAAAGGCAGACAGAGTTGCTAGCAGATCTAAAATTCCCACAAGATTCCACGTAAACACCTATCAAAGTATTCTGAAGTTTCAGGGAGGTATTTCGTTTTTACCTGTAATTTTACATTGATTACATCTCCTCACAGCCTAATTCAAAGATGCACATTGTTATTACGGTAGGTTGTATTACTTGGTTTAGGGGTATCATATCTCTGGTTAATGGCCAAACACATCCTGACTGGCAAATACCATGTAAAGAAAACCGTCTGGATCTTTTTCATGTTGGTAGAGCTCAGCCATGGTTGTGCTGCCACTCGCCATTGTCTTCTGATTTACTAATAGGAAAAATGCTTGTGTCGGATTCAGCTCTAATCGACGCCTAATCACAAAGAAAGTTGTCAGCTTACACCAATGCGTTCTTTAATATCTTATAAAAATTTCAATTCCATCTTATGCCAATTCTGTCACATGTCACATGTAAAAAACTAAATACAAACCTGATTATTCTAACGAGTTCCGCCACGGTCAAGAAATCTGGCACTAGAAATTTAGTCTTGTCCAGAAGCGGCAGTTGATTCTCTCCAGAGAAACGTTCCACGATAATAGGAATTTTATTTGGATGCCGTTCTCTGATGACTTCCGCATCAGCAGCTCGTTGTTCTAAATTAACAAAGTATCGCAAGTATGAGTCAGATACGTTTTAAACAAACGCAAGTTCTCTTGTTTGTGCGTAACGATCCTTTTAATTTTTCTTTCCTCTGTATAAAATTTCGACAAACGTCAAACGACTTCTCTATCTCCTCACGCAGAGAACACTAAGAAGATACACGAAAATAATAAATGCCATTGCTCGAGCCGTCTCCGTGTGCGATCAGCGATCTTATCCGAATCTCCTCCGAAGCGCAATCCCTTGCAATAAAAAGATCTCAGCCTTCCCCACCGATTGAAAAAGCGTTCGATACTCCAGCGCTCTTTTGTTTTCGACAAGTAGTGACGCACCGCCGACCAACAATATCCGACGAATGCACGAGCCTCCCCCGTGGCAGTGCCGATGTCATTCGCGTTTTACCTTGTGGCGATATTACACAATGTTGCACAGCAGCAGAAATCGCGACAACAATGACGAATACGAAAAAGGCAATCGCGTGTCCGTTCAACGAGAGAGAGAGAGAGAGAGAGAGAGGAGAGAGAGAGAGGAGAGAGAGAGAGGAGAGAGAGAGGAGAGAGAGAGAGAGAGATAGATAGATTAACAATCTCCGACGGTCGACGCTCGTCACGTCGACATTTCTTTCAGCCGAGAAACAACGCGACATAATCCTCGAATGCGAAATACTCGAAAAGAAAGAAAAAACCAGCAGGAGACACAACGAGATGTGCCTATTCGTACCTGCCATTCTCTCGCATCCCTCAGCTTTTCCTACCCTTCGACCCTCCGCTCGGACCATTAACAGCGCCCACATTGTATCGTAGGTGCGTGGGAATAACGATTACTCACCGAACGAGCGTTTCTGCTTGTATGTCTTCGGCTTCAGACTCATTTTCGTTGTGACGTTTGCGCGGCGTATGTGCACTATCAACTACTACTGCGACGTACGTGCGACGCGACGTGCGCGATATCAGCTGTGAGCTCTCGTCGCACGCTCTCGGGTCTCGGGACGGGTCAAAATAACGCTGGCGTGCACAGCGACGCCGTATTAAGCGAACCGTCAGGTCAGGTTGAGTCGCTCGCGTTTGTCGCGTTGTCCTCCTCCTCGTCGTCGTCGTCTTCGTGTTCGTCTTCGTTTGCCGCACCGCACGCACGCGGCAACAATGAACCGGCTGGCTGGCTGGCTGGCTGGCTCGGACGGACAGACGAGGGAGGAAAAATCCCAGGACTCGCTGATACGCTCGCAATCGGTCTCGCCTATCTCTTTCTTCGCAATAAGGTGTTTCTGAATATTCTTATTCGTCACGTGAGTGACGAGGAGCGCAGAGGCAGAGAGGGAGGGAGAGAGAGAGAGAGAGATCGTTTGAAATGTACGCTATTAGAATATGCAGATTCTCCCAAGTGCACGCGAGAGCGAGAGAGAGAGAGAGAGGAGAGAGAGAGAGAGAGAGAGAGAGAGAGAGAGAATGGACTCGGTTTGTCGCGCTTTCAACTCTCGCGTCTTTGCTCCATTGTTGGGAGAGCCCGCAGGTGAATTCTTTCAGCTAGTCAGCGATTCTCTCTCGTCGAACCGATGCGCACTGCTATATTTCGCTCCGTTGGGACTTGTTGCGACCAATGGTCGCATCGGTGCTTCAACAGGCTCTTCGAGAGCAGAAAAACAGATTACACGCTATTCAGAATTCACCTCCGAGCGGAGGAGGAGTCCCCACCCCGTCGCGCGAGGAGGACCGCCTGACATTCGCGCGCTCGTGTCAGAATGTCGCATCGGGTTACCTCTCTCGAGTTTACTCGACATGTCGCATAAATTATCCATCAAATGATCCCTGCGTCGAGCAATCAGCCGCAGCTGTGAAACAACCATCGGACACCCCGGGTGCGTTGAACCCGAGAGGCTGCCGATCGCACGCATCGACGTATCGGGCAAACACGCGCGATCGCGCGCCTGTATCAGCAAGTTACAAAACAAACGGATCCAACACTAAAGACTAAGCGCAGGAGGTAACGCGAGCGTCGCGCGGTGGCGACACGCGTTTCGAAATTGTTTCGCGCTCTCGTCGACGTCGCGGCGCGCCCTCTGGCTGCGGCGAGGCGCGCTCGCCGCGGGTTCGTCGGCCGGTGCCGCCCCCTGGCGGGCGGTCGGCACTTTTCAGCCTCGGCGACAAGGCGAATCCGCTGTCATTGTCTCGGCGAACAACGGATGCTCGCCGCGAAGCACCGAAGCGCGCACCTGCCTCGCCGCGTCGATTGCGAGCCCGCGATGCCGCGGCAAGCACGTCCGAGGGAAACGAGCCGGACAGACTGAGCCTTGCCATCGTCATCGTCGACGTCGTCCTCGTCGCCGCCGACTTCGTAGGAGAGAGCTGCTAGTCACCCCGTCGATCCCGACGAGCTGTCGACGAGCGCGAGATACATGTCCCAAAGCGGACGATAGCTTCTGGATTACACAACGCTCGCGCTCTCTCTCTCTCTCTCTCTCTCTCTCTCTCTCTCTCTTCCCTTCCCTTCTCTTCCCTCTCTTTCTCTCCCGTGTGGCGGAGCCGCGCGCGATTGCCAAAACGCCGCGGCAGCGGCGGCGTCGGCGTCGGCGTCGACGTCGGCGACCGGCTCGACGGACGCTCGTCTATGTGAAACGACGCGCTCCGCGGCTGGTCGCGGTGTGTGTGCCGTGTGTTGCGGACGGCGAGCGGAGCGGAGCGGAGTGGACGCGCGAGTACACGCGGGACGGACGGGCGGATGGACGGTGTATACCTGCCGCGCGAGTGAGAGTGCACGCGTGGGAGTACGAAGGATCGAGGTGCACAGAAAGAGAGAGAGAGAGAGAGAGAGAGAGAGAGAGAGGTACAACAGCAGGCGTTTTCTGGGACCGGCTTCAGCTGCGCGTGGAGGGCGGCGAGCTGGAGCGAGTATTCCTCAAGCCGCCGCGGAGCCGACGCGCTACCTTCGTCGACGCGACGTCGCGTTGATCGCGAGGGACCAGTCGCATCGGCCGGGAGAAGCCCAACATTGTGAATGCACACGCGCTGAGAGAACGGCCCACGGCGTGTGAGCGCGGTAGGTTGCAACGGGGCGAGTGAACGAGCGAGTGAGCGAGTGAGCGAGCGAGCGAGCGAGCGAGCGAGCGAGAGAGAGAGAGAGAGAGAGAGAGAGAGAAAGAGAGAGACACACACACACACACAGAGGACGCTCCCTCCCCGTTCCTAAACACCTGTGCGTGTCGCGACAACGCGTATCGTACGGTCGGTCGGTCGGTCAGTGTTCGGTCGTGTTCGCGACGACGGACAGTCGCATCCCGTCCAGCGGGTCGTCGTGTGTACGGACGTGAAGCACGAAAGCAAGAGCGAGAGAGAGAGAGAGAGAGAGAGAGAGAGAGAGAGAAAGCATGGAGGAGTCAGCGCCGGAAGCAGTGTCGCGCTGCCGCGCGTAACCGTAAAGATCCGTTCGCGCCGCGAACAGTGTGCAATCTCCCCCTGGTTCTCTCTTACCCCTCTCTCTCACCCCCGTATCGGGACATTAACACGAAAGACCGTCGCGCCTTTCGGAGCAGCCGTCGGGGACGACGACGTCGCGCGCGGACGCACGCGCGCGCGCGCGCGCGCACCGTGCGTGTGGGAAAGTGGTTGCGTCTTTTTCTCTCTGCGACTGTGTGCGCGCGTGTGTGTATGTGTGTGCGTGCGTGCGTGTGTGTGTGTGTGTGTAGTGAACACTGCTATATGTGCGTGCTCTGCGCCGGATATCAACCCCGTGATCATCGGTGATCTCGGCGCGACGTTGCAATCGGGGAGGTAGAAAAAGAATAAACAGGGTGGCACAGTGAATGAGTGAGAGTGTGAGAGAGTGAGAGAGAGAGGAGGGAAGAGAAAGAAATAGAAAGAGAAGAAGAAAGAGCGTCAAGGGGAGGCGACGAGTGGTCGTCCGAGCGAGCGAATTCGTGCGTACGTGTGTAAGAGAACGATATAAAACGATAGAGAGGGCGAGAGAGAAAGGGAGACAGACGGATACACAGTGACGGGGCGGGGGGGAGGAGGAGAGGGAAGCGGTTTCGCGCGAAGAGCGAGAGAGAGAGAGAGAGAGAGAGCGAGCGGGGACGAAGGAAACAGCAGACGGCGGAGCGGTCGGTGCCGCCAGAAGCGGCCAATTCGACCGGCGCGGCGCGGCGCAGCGCGGCGCGGCGCGGCGCGGCGCGGTGCTCCCTTTGTCCTGTCCGAAGGGGAAAACGCGCAGGAGACTCTCTCTCCCGCGAGACTCGCGAGCGAATCCCGCCGACAGCTGGCACGGTGTGCGGAGCCCGTCGTCGTCGGTGAGCGACGCGACGACGTGCCGGCCGGATTGATGCCGACGGGACGACGACGGCGACGCGACGTCCCGCGCAACCGTCGAGGCGCGGCCGTGCTCGCATCGACGCCCGGTTCGATTTTCGTGCGCGCGGACACGCCGTCGTTCCGCGCTGTCGTGTCGGCGACGGCGACGACGCCGCGCTGCGTGCTGTTATGTCGTCGCCGCCGGTGGCGGAGGTACTCGGCGTGACTCGGCGGCGCCGGTGACGAAAAGCGCGCGTTCCCGTCGCGAGCAGAGCGGACGAGGGGGGAGAGGAGGAGGAGGAGGAGAATGATGATGATGATGTAAGTCTCGGCCGCGGACAGTCAGGAAGAAGAGACGAGACGATCGCGAATCGTCAGCGCGTCGGGCATCCCGCGAAATCGGCGCGATAAGAAAGCGGAAAGGAGGAGAAGGAAGAGGTGGACCGAGGTTCGACGAGGAGGCGCGCGACCGTGTCGTTGTTCGCCTGTCGCGAGTGCATCCGGAAGTGTGCGAGGAGTAGGTTGGTGCGCGAGATTTCGCTGTGATCGATCGCGAGCGGTGCGCGCGTGTGACGCGTTCTTACGCGGGGTGTTTGTGTTCTTCTAGGTCGCTGTGCTACCTAGGAGTCGGAGACTCGAGGATATCCCAAGAAACCACGTCCAGGCACATCGCCAGGGGGCCAGCGGGGGACGGCGAGAGAGAGAGAGAGAGAGAGAGAGAGAGAGAGCGGGAAACGGCGCGTCCGTCAGTGAGAGCTGGTGGAATCGATCGGCATCGACGACTACGACGAGGAGTCGTCGCGGTCGGACGCGGGAGCGGTCTCTCGAGTATCGTGTCGCGCGCGGTCGCGTCAGGTCGCTGAGTCGCCGCTCGAAGAGGCCGTACAACGAGGCGGGCCGCTGGGGTATTCTCGGTCGCGCTGACGACGGCGACGTCGGCGCGAATGGAGCAGCAGCGGCGGCGGCGGCGGCCGCAGCACCAGCACCAGCACCAGCACCAGTACCAGCAGCAGCAGCAGCACAGTGACAGCAGACGCGGCGGCAACGGCGACGACCGCGTCGACGACAGCGGAGTCGTCAAACTTGCGCCGGCCCGGTGCCAATAACCTCCGTTAGCCGCGGAGGTAGCAGCCGCTTCCTAACGCGACGATGCGTTCGCCCTCGCACGCGCGACAGATCGTAAAATTAGCAGACGGACGGTTCCGAGCCGGAGAGAGGAGACACGACGACGTCGTTGGCGGCGAGCGACGTCACGACCGTCGCAGGAGGCGAAGAGAATCAACCGGAATATCATCGGCGACCCGGCTGATTAATAATACTAATTAACGCATCGATCGTGAGCGCGCGCGCGCGCGCGCGCCCGCGGGGTGTTGTGTGTGTGTGTGTGTGTGTGCGCGCGCGGGTGTGTGTGTGTGTGTACGTGTGTGTACGTGTGCGTGCATGTGTGTACGTGTGCGTGTATGTGTGTGTCTGCCTGTCGTCGACGTACGCGCGACATCCCCCAAGTGCGCTTTCCATAGTTCCTCTTCTCTTCTCGCTGAGAGCGTTCGTCGGCCTGCGGAGGACCCGAGAGAGAGAGAGAGAGAGAGAGAGAGAGAGAGAGAGAGAGAGAGCCGTCATCGAGAGCGGATCGCCCAACGACGGGTGGCGAACTCACTGGCGATCACAAGTACTGGCAAGCTACGAGTCGCCGGCGAGTGCGAGAGTGCAACTTGTCTAGTCCGCTGCATTTAAACGCGAAATCTCGCGCGGGATCGCGCGCGAGCCCGAGGATATTATTAGAGGAATTGATTCGCCCCAGTCGTAGCCAGCACCCACGTGTGCGAGAGCGAACCCTGCACGCTCACCGGGACGCAGCCGCCGAGCGTAGCAGCAACGCGCACCCTGGTGTTCCCTGGGAACGGCGCACGGCCCCTCAGCCGGAGGCTGGCCGGGTAGCTGGCCGCTTCCATCGGCTCCACCAGCGTGCGGGACGAGTGCCGGAGGAGGAAGTGCCAGAACGAACGAAGCGAGAGAAGCCGACGGCGTAGTCGCGATTTTGCTCGCGGGCAAACACGACGATCCGATTTCCGCCTTGAGAGCCACCGGAGCCACAACCTCGAGTGAGAGTGAGAGAGAGAGAGAGAGAGAGAGAAACGCGAGAGACGCGAGAGGCACCCGGGTCCATTCCCGTCTTGACGCAACTTCGCTCTCAGCCCCGACGCGGCAGTATGCCTCGCACCGACTTCCGGCTACCATTCTCCGCCGACGCGTCCGGCGAAAGCGCGAGGATCGTGCGCGCGGGTACCGCCGACCACGAGAGACACTGATCGCGAGGATCGCGCGCGCGCGCGCGATCAGCAGCCCGCGATCGGCGTGCATCGAGCGAAGCCGGAGCGGACCTCCACGTGGTGCGTGTGACGTCGGACGAGAGAGAGAGAGAGAGAGAGACAGCCTCGAACAGGACAGCTGTAGGGACGCGACAAATGGGCACAAATGATTAGCTTAGCCCTGGCAAGCAGGATCGAGATGCCGCTCTCCAAACCGAATCCGTTCGTGCCGGCGAGCGCGATCTCGACGCAGGCAGCGTACATCTCGAGCAGCGACAGCAGCAACCACCTGCCGCCTATCGTCAAAGGTACCGGCCTGACCCTCAAGCAGACCGGCGGTGGCGGTGGCGATCATGCGGTGCCTTACATCGGCTACCAGAAGCTGCCGTGGAAAGCCGACAGTCTGAGCCTGGGTCTGAGTTCGTACGTGAGCCACAATTCCAGTCACAACTCGCACTCGCAGCCGAACAGCCAGTCGAGCAGTCCGGTGGTGAAGAACGGCCGTTCCGATGGTAACTCCAGCAGTGAACGCGCACGTGGCGGTGGCGACGGGAGTAGCGGCGGCGGCGGCGGCGGCGGCGGCGGCGGAGGAGGTGGTGGAGGAGGAGGAGGAGGAGGAAGCGGCGGCGGCGGCGTCGTTAGCATCAGCAAGCCCAAGACGATGACCGTCACGCCGGAGATTGTGATGAAGCTCTACATGAACAAGCTGACGCCGTACGAGCACCACGAGATCTTCAACTACCAGCAGATCTACTTCATCGGCGCGAACGCGAAGAAGCGGCCGGGCATCATCGGCCGGCCGAACAACAACGAGTACGACAACGAACAGGGCTCGTACATCCACGTGCCGCACGACCACGTGGCGTATCGCTACGAGGTGCTGCGGGTGATCGGCAAGGGCTCGTTCGGCCAGGTGGTGAAGGCGTACGATCACAAGACGCACGAGCACGTGGCGCTCAAGATGGTGCGCAACGAGAAGCGCTTCCACCGCCAGGCGCACGAGGAGATCCGCATACTGCGCAAGCTGCGCGAGCAGGACAAGGACAACACCATGAACATCATCCACATGTTCGACTCGTTCACCTTCCGCTGCCACATGTGCATCACCTTCGAGCTGCTCAGCATCAATCTGTACGAGCTCATCAAGAAGAACAACTTCAAGGGCTTCAGCCTGCAGCTGGTGCGCAAGTTTTCGCACTCGCTGCTGCTCTGCTTGGACGCGCTCTACAAGAACAAGATCATCCACTGCGACATGAAGCCGGAGAACGTGTTGCTGAAGCAACAGGGACGCAGCGGCATCAAGGTGAGTGTGTACGCAGCCCGCCCGCGTGAATCGGTAGATTGACGAGCGACGGAGAAGGTGTCGTCGTAACACTCGCGCGGCGAGCCGAGCTTCCTCGAGCGATTCTCGCTCGCCCGTGTTCCTCATTCCGCGCAGCTCGCGCCGCGAGTAACTTTGCGAGCGAGAGCGACTGGAATCCGGCGGCTGCTAAGCCGAGAGCGCGCGTGTCGCACGATCATTGGTCTGTTAGTCCTTTTAGCTGCGCTTCTAAACTAATGCGATAAATCTGAATGAGACAACTGTGTTGTTTCTTCTCGCTCGAGTCGCTTATTGCAGCAGAGTTCAGCAGCGCGGCTGGAAAGAAGAGACCGCGCGTGAGACTCGACGAGGGCTGCCGCCGGGTCCGATATATTTCAGTTATTCGGAGGGAGTTAAGCCGCGGTATTTCGCCGAGCCAGCGGCCGCGAAATACGCGCGTCGCGTCGACAACTCGCGGAGATGCGGGGCAGGTCAGGCGAGAGCTGCTCGGGAATGCGATCATTCCGCACCGCGTGCGTCCAAGCGCGCGACCTGCTCTCGCTTTCCTCTCGCCGCGCAAAATTCCTCCCAGACTCGCGAGACGAAAATCAAGCTCGTCGCCGATGCGATATCCCGAGAGCCGAGCGACGCTCCTGCGCGCTCGTCTCGCTCCGATCGTCCTCATGATCGAGTTACCGTTTTCGGTTACCGCGTCACCCCCTCCGGGGCCCTCCAGGGCCCGACTAGGGTTGCCAGATGGCCTTGATTTCCGGGATTGTCCCGGAATTTTCTCAAGTTTGCTCCGTGTCCCGGGAAATCGACAAAATTATAATCATAATATTCATGTTTTTAATCGGTACCGGAGAGAAATGTAAGAACAATCATTGGGATTTATAAGGACGAAAAACTAGACCTGAGAAACCATTCGTGTAGTAAAAAAAAAAAAAATGAGAAAAAGGTCAATCGTACGATTGGTGTCTAAACCTTCTCTCTGCTGGTACCTAATCCGCACGTTTATTCGTTGCAGGTAAGCAACGACATCTCTTAACCGTCTCTTAACCCTCCATCTGTCGAATTTAACTAAAATTCTCCAACAACCTGTTTTCCAACCTAAAAAATGTCCCGGAAATAGTCATTTTGCATCTGGCAACCCTACACTGAGATAAAATTGTATTAAAATTAATATTTGTTATGAAAATTAATATTAATATTTGTTCGAGTACTGGACTGTAAATACATTTACTCAAATTAAGCGACTAATTTCTAAAATGAAATACGCAGGTTCTCCGAATGTAAACTTTCTGCTTGAATTTTAGAAAATAATTGCTTAATTTAAGTAAATGTATTCGCACAGTCGTATTCGAACAAATATTTATTTAATTTTAATACAATTTTTTTCTCAGTGTAAGTCCGACGCACTTGCGGACGCAGGCTGCGATGCTGTGATGAAAATCGGACATAATTACAACGTAAAATCGTCCCTCTTCCCCCTCTCTCTCTCTCTCTCGGTTTTATTGTGAATATCGCCTCGCATCACGATGCTGATCCTCGATACGCGCGCAAATGTCCGATAGCGTTTGTAAAACAAGATCTCGAGTTCCTGCTCGATGGGCGGCCCTCGACGGAGCCACTTATTATTTCTCGTAACGCGATCCTCTCTATTGGCATTCTTTTATGCGCTTTGCATACGAAAGGCTTTATTGCTTCCCTCGTCGGGAGCGACGACATACCGATGACACACGCGTTGAATATATCGCGCGACGTTCTCGTCGCGAGAGTCATCGCGCCATCCCTTACGGCAGGGATTACCGATTCCGGGGCGGGAGATGGGGAGGGTGGGAAATGGAAAAAACAACATGATCTCTGTTTCCCTTCGGACCGAGGGAATTCCGCCCCCCCCCCTCTCCCCTTCTTTTCTCGCATTTCTCTCTTTCGTCGGTCTCTCATCTCTTTATTTTTCAAACGCGCACCGTCGCGAATGTATATGCATGCGAGACACGAGTCAGCATTCTCCGCTCCCCCCCCCCCTCCTCCTCCTCCCCTTTCACCGCTTTATTTTCGCTTTCGCGCTGTGAATGTCTCTCCTGGCGAAACTGGGCTTTCAATTAAAGCGGCCGATCGATCGGCCGCTTCGCCCGCCAAACATTTTCCGCGCGCGACCTTTAGCCCCGTTTCGGGGCATCGATATTCTCGAGATATCGCGCACCGAGACTGTCAGAGGAGAGGAAGAGAGCGCTCTTTCCTCCTCCTCCTCCTCCTCCTCCTCCTCCTCCTCCTCGCCGTTGCGATACGCCGCGCTAGCCGAAAAATCGAGCGGATCGCGGGACGGAGTTGACGAGAAGCGGCGAGAAGCCGACCGCGAAGACCGGTGAGATGCACGCAGGAAGCTCTCTCTCTCTCCTCTCTCGGTCGGCGCAGATACCACAGGAGACGCGAACGCTGTAAATGCCGACGCGAACCGGCTGCCATCGACATCGCGATTAAACGCGCGGCCGTAACACGCTTCTTCCGACGACACGCTCGACGACGTATCGTCGCGCACGACGTTTGTTCCATTTGTTAGCGCAATCGGACGAGACGCTCCCCGCTTGCCACGGAGACAAAGCGATATTCCGCCGGCGGGAATATCACGTTTCGCGCGTATCGCGCCGATTCTCGTGACGCATAATGACATCACTGTTACGCGCACGCTCCGCCGCGCCGCGCCGCGCGGACGGGCGGGAGAGAGCAAGTTTTTCTCGCGCGAGCGACTCGCGGCCAAACTAGGGATGCCGAATATTTTTCAAACAGTTCGATTTAAAGATCGATTCGAATCACGAAGAAAAAATCGATCTTTAAAAAATCGATTTCAGAAAATCGGTTCGTAAAAAATCGATTTCAGAAAATCGCTTTGGATCGGTATGCATGTAAAGTGCACCACTCATTAAGGTATACTATCTGTCAAATTTCTACACTCTAAAGTAGACCTCGTGTAATTCATATAAAGTTTAATATGAATTGAAGAGATCAAACAGATGGTATTCTTTTGGTTGTGTTGTGTGTGGCTACAACAAGATGGAAAAGGATCTTTAAATCTTCATGCTAAGGATTTAATCAGTTTGATTAAACATCAATCAAGGCTTTTTGAAGGCTTATTAAATAAGAAATCACGTTTACTATTATATGCATATGCATATGTATATATAATATACTATTATACGGAGTGACTGTGATTGGTTCGCGCGTTCCGTTCCGCTGAAAATTTTCGCCCATGGGACGTCGCGTCCCGTGTCTAAAGGCAACGTAATGTGCATCGTGCAGCCATTAAGTGAGTTCAGATATTCCAACTGAAACGTATTGAAAAAAAAGAAAAAAACCTACGTTACTAGTAGAAAGGGAGAAAATCGTGTTGGCGATTTTCAGAAGATTTACAGATCGATCCTTCAATCGAGTTCCAGAAAATCGATTTGAAATCGATCTTTTAGGCTCCGATTAGTCGATCTCCGATTAAAAATCGAGCCGATTTAAAATCGGCATCCCTAGGCCAAACTGCGCGAAGCCCGGCCGCCCGAGTGCTCGGGCGCGGTGATGAGATCGGCTCTGCAAAACTCGGGCTCCCTCGTTACGAGTGTGCCACCTGTTCCTGATTTATATTTCCATCCGCGCGTGTTAAACTTGTGTCTCTCGCATGGGAACATGCGAGTCGAGTCGAGTCGAGTCGAGTCGAGGCTCACGCGCTCAGTCTGCCAAATTCTCGTCTATTTTCAATCGCCCGCGTCTCTTCCGAGACGCGAGATTCGAAATACAGATCGCCGATCCGTTTGAATTCTCATTAGAAGCATCGAGGGGGGGGAGGGTTGGGGGGGAGAATAAGTGTGTGTTGCATATTTAAAGTCGAGTGATCAGCAGACCGCTCTCAATCAGCGGTTAATCGACGGAGTCGGAGCAACGGAGAACGTCCTTGTTGCCCGCTCTCGGCGGTCTCTCTTTCGCCGACGACAAGGCGGCCGGAATGCGCGCGTAAAAGCGGAATCGCATTATCTCGGCCAACTGTGGCATTCGCACGCAAGTCCGCAAACTTTCGAGAGCGAGGTCTGGCCGGTCGTGACCTTGCGAGGCCGCACGGTGGTTTACTTTGATGTCGACGCGCCGCGCGCGCGTGACTGTCGGACCGGCGGCGGTGGCGCCGGTAAAAGCAGCAGCGAGAGGTGCTAAGTGCTGGGAATGGACAAAAATTAGATTCGCCTGTCTTCGTTTCGTTTCCAAGTGGCCGCAAACCGACGACGACCAGTGTCCCGCGAACTGTGAGGAACCTACTAGGGGAGAAAGAGCGGGGACGAACGCTCGGACGAAAAGTCCCTCGGATGCGAGCGGGAGGACGAGCAGGACTAAGAAGGAACATCCGTGAAGTATTATGGTGTGTGTCTTCGATTTCGACGAAACTTGGCATATTTGTAGAGTAGCCAGAAATAAGAGACTAATATTTCTTTTTGTCGGCAATGTCTCAGGTTTAGGGAATGAAACTGCCCCTCGGAGTTTCATCCCCCTTATGCTACCTCGATAATTATTGCAGATAGGGAAAATCTTTCTGAACAAAAATTGTGCGGCATAAAAAACTGTACAATTTTTGTTTAAAAAGCTTTCCCCTACCTGCGATAATTATCGAGCATAAGGGGCATAAGGGGAACGAAACCTCGAGGGGCAGATTCATCCCTTAAACCTGAGCCATTGCCGATAAAAAATATGGGTCTCTTAATTTTGACTAGAAATATGCCTAAGTTTCGTCGAAATCGGAGACACACACTTCGCGGATGTTAGAAGAAGAAAAGCCCGAGATTCAGCGCGCCACGTCAGTCGTCCCGCAGCCGCGATAAATTTGACGAGGCGGCGGCGGCGGCGGCGCGAAATTAGACGCTGCGACGGACACCCCCGCGTCTCCTCATCTCGCGAGATGCGACACAGTTCGGCCGGCGATACGAGTGCCCCTATTCTATTTATTTCACACGCAAAAGCCGCCGATAAGA